AACCTAATCCTAATCTAACAGTCAAAATAAAAGTTGCATTATATTTTACATCTTATTGGTTTGACTTGTTCAAACTGGATAGTTGAACCATTGACCTAGAAACCAAAAGCCAAAGCGGTTCCATTTCTGGATCTTCTAAGATCCATTGCTCGATTTTGCGTGTTGCTCTAGTTTCACACTCTTTCTTTACTCCAAAAACATTCCACCAGGAATTGATAAACCAGCAAAAGCTGCCACTGTCAATTAGAACAACCYGGGTGACTGTTGGATTATTTGTACGAAAAATGAAATAGAAAGCTTCCTTCTCATCCTGGTAGTTGATCCCCAGACAACGACTCCCATCCTGCCATTCCAGAAGAGGTAGATAGGCCGAACCCCTTTGATCTATTAAAACCTTGATTTTAGTCAAAAGAAAGTTCCACAATACTATTCATATTTTTAATAATGTGTAAATATAGAATTATAGATGTGTTCAATTTTTTCTATATTTTTGTGTGTAATGAAATTCTAATATATCACACTTACTTTTTGTTTAATATGATAAATACATGATATTATACATGTGCCTGAATGCATATTTTTTTGCAAAATTTATATTTTTTTGTATTTTTATTATTTATTTATGAAATTAAAGGTTAACACATTTAATGAAAATATGATTTCATTTCTAGGTTTATTTTAAAAATATAAAATTTCATTTTATTAATAATTATTGTGTATGGATTTATTAGTGAAATTTAATGATGATAAACAAAAGTATTTTTTATATTTCTAAATTTATGTTATTTATTTATGACATCATGAAATTATCCATTTGACCCAAATGGTTGAACTACTTACCCACCACCTAGATGAAAAATATGATTTCATTTCTATGTTTATTTTAAAATATAAAATTTTATTCTATTAATAATAATTGTGTATGAATTTATTAGTGGAATTTAATGATGATAAACAAAAGTATAAATGTTGGATTCAATGAGAGAGAATGTTATTTATTTAATGACTTAAATGTGAGACTTAATGAGAGGTAATTGAATGTACTTAATGGTATTCTTTTAATTACATTTTCTGCCTTTCAATAAGGATAACTAAATTCAAGAGGAGGGGTATTTCATTAAAGAAAAATTTCAGAAGCCAATACCTCCTCATTCACACTTTTCTGAGTAGTATAAACTACATAAAAGTAATAAGTTTGAAACTCAATAACTAAGAAAGAAATAAAACTTATTTTTCTATTATTTTATATGAAAAAACTAGAAATATATAAAAACTTTGGTGAATCACTATTACTTCATTTTTTCCTCTTAAAGAGTAGATTTTTGAACAGAAACCCATGCATCACATGTGTCACGTTAGTATTATAAAGGAAAGAGGAGTTTGTGGAGTTAAAGAGCCCTTTCACCATAGGCCTTACACGATGGACCTCTTATTTCTCACACATATGGTTATCTATTTTTAAAAGTGCTTATTTGAATAAGCACTTACTTTTAGGTTAGGACCATGACAATAAGCACTTATTTGTATTTGAGAAATAAACCCCAATAAGTGCTTATTCATAAAAATAAGCATTTATTCAAGAAGCCGAAAATTTGACTTTATTTTTAAGTGCTTTATTTCTTTTTGGCTCCTCTTGGTGTATCAATCATTTTTTAAAAATATTTATACTACCCCTATTTGAAATAACTTATTTTTCACCAAATACTCATCAACGCTTATTAGGATAAGCATCGGCTAAAAGCTATAAGAAATTCCAAACCTAACTAAACTTTTATTCAACTCCATGCATTGTATGAATTTACTTGCAAATGAAAATTAAATAAAATTTAATGCAATTGATTAATATCCGAATTTTTTCATCAGCCATATTAATGAATGCACTATAGTTAAATTCTTAATTTGAGTGTTTTTTTTATGATGATACCCTTTATAAAATTAAGGGTAAATTTCTTAAACTACCCTTATGGTTTAGCTAATTGACTAAGTGTACCCCTACTATTTGAAAATTGATTGATGCTATCCTTACTGTTTCTGACAACTAACTAATCCTTCTTAGTCATTAATGTGCATCAACGGAAATGTGAAAAAGACTATTTTACCCTCCACTATAATTACTCAGATCTCTCCCTCTCTTTCTCATTTTCTTCACTAGAACTACCGAAACCGTTGGAACTACTGGAATGGCAGATGATGACCGGATCTCAGATTTGAGTATCTCTCAGATCTGAGTTCCTTGAGAGATCTAGATTCCTTGCAGAGAATCTGAGAGATACTCAAATCTGAGTTCCTTACTTGGATTTATCCTCTTTTGATTTTTCATAGTAAACATCGGCAAGATAAGCCCCATCGACATATTGACACTACTTCTAAACTCCACTTCAAGGACAGCACCGATGACATCAACAAAAGTCACTTGTCTCTGGGGCTTCCTGAAATAACCTACTGAACTTCATCAGACCACTGAGGCTGCTTGGACCTCCTTGTGCTCGTCGGAAGAGGAAGGCGAGGGTGAGGGATGGGAAAAGAAGATTTCCGATGAGTGCTTTTGCTGGAAAGGCGAAGGCTGCCTGGACCTCCCTGTGCTTTTGTCGGTTGTCAAACAGTTGACGGTAATGCTTCTACCGTCAAGAATCTTCCCTCTAGATCTACCGATTCAAATCATTTGGCTGATTTGGTGCTAGAGAACATGGTGGAAGGTTGCATCAATGAGAAAAGGATGATTTCGTTTCCTTCATATTCAAATCATTTGGCTGATTTGGTGCTAGAGAACATGGTGGAAGATTGCAGCAACTAGAAAAGGCTGATTTCGGTTCCTTCAGATTCAAATCATTTGGCTGATTTGGTGCCAGAGAACATGGTGAAGGTTGCAACAACGGGAAAAGGCGAAGGCCGCTTGGACCTCCCTGTGCTTCTGTCGGTAGTCAAATAGTTGACGGTGATGCTTCTACCATCGAGAATCTGCCCTCTAGATCTACCAATCTAGAAAATGATGAACCCAAACCCTTTGGATTTGTAGAATCCTCATGCACTGCTCATCACAGAAAATGACAAACCCAAACCCTCTAGATCTACTGATCTCACAACCCTCTTTTATTTATGAAAGTAGGTCTCTAAACCAAGTTCGACAACCCTGTTTTGGCCGCAATCATTTTCTGACATTGGGAACCCAAGCGGCAAAGGAGACGAAACAAAAGAGGGAGAGAGAACAAAGGGGAAGGAGAGAGTGTGTGAGAGAGGAGCTGGAGGTGGAAGAGGCTAATGCAACGGCAGGTTAAGAACTGAATCAATTGGATTTGTTGTTGAAAGGAAGAAGACAATAAGGGTAGAATTGGGTTTTAAAAAAATATATATACATCCCTTATATACGAATTTAACAGAATATTAACGAATACAAGCAATAAAGGTAAAGCTAATCAATTATCGAAAAATAAATCAATTTTTAAACAGTGGGGTATACTTATTCAATTAGCTAAACCATAAAGATAAGGGGGTAGTTTAAGAAAATGCATTGATCCTATTAAATCAGGCCATACTGAATTGGATCCAATAAACTAAATAAATTAAACGCTACAAGTTTGATAATCGAAATTTTGACTGATTAGTAAATCCAAATTGGTTTCAATTATGTCAAATCTACGAAATCAAAATTTCTCTGCACCTGCACCAACATAGAAATCAGAGGCCCCATTGGATGATGAATCGATACAGTGGCTCTGGTCTGAAGTCTGAACATTAATCGTGGTGGTAGTACCACTACCTGCCACTACCTCCAGGCTCCTACTGTTATTCACTGTTCCTATCTTATTATTTCCAACTTGGACTTTGTTTCTTTCTTTCCTTGCTGCTCATCTCTTTTGCAGGTGTCACGTGAGAGTCTGATTCTTACAAACCGTTCAATCAGAACCCATAACCCCGGGCCCCACCACCGATTCCAATCTCACTGTTTCATTTCATTCTATTCTTGTTTCCTTAAAAGCCTACTCTTTATGTGGAAACTTTTCTTTTTTCCGGTAACACCTTTAAGTGGAAAGCTATTCAAGGCTAAGCCATTCACCTCTCAACCCAAATGCTAGGGGTGATGATGATGTGTAACCCGTCTATCTATTAAAGGCACCGTGATCCCTTGTATTTGCGCAGCTGTATTCTAATCAAACAGTAAATACCTGTGATCTACAATAACTGATATATAAAACTCAGCCTACTATAACAGTCCCTAACATGAAAGATACCCATCAAAATAGTCTCTGTAAAAGTTGTACCGGAGGCGGAGAGAAACACATATAATATGATAGACGTCAAAACAAAACCAGATGAGTCATGATTGTAAGAAGGCATCGTCCTTCAAGAATCTACCGTACACGTAGCACAGCTATATGTGCTGCTTGCTAACTGCGACACCAACCATTCCACCCCATGTGTCTTTTCATTGTAGAAAATGTTTCATAACGCATGAGAATATCGTACCATCGGCCTGTCCAACCGTCAGACTGGAATCCAAGTGAAACACCGGTCCAAAGTCGGACCGCTCACTCTTCTCTTTTGGATCCACTCTTGTTCCAGTACGACAAGTCCGTAGATCGGATGGTCGGGGCAATCTTTTCGTACAAAGGATTCTCGAGATACGGGTATTCCCCCTTCCGTCGGGAATTCTCACAGAGCGCGCCGTCCGAACTCTTCCGTCGGTGCTACTGCTGACTCTCTGAGGGACAGAGGGAGGGTGTATGGATCGGGTACAGAGATTCCACTCCACAGTCCACAGACAGGACAGTTCTCCTCCTCGACTCTAAAAGGGTAGCTGCAATGTATCTACGGTATATACCGTAGACTCCCGATACCGGATGCCCACGCACGTGGCCAATTTTGCCACGTGTCATGTGTTACAGGTCTCTCTCTCTCTCTGTGTTTCATCCTTGATCACCGTGCATTAAGAATATTTCTCGTAAAAATTAACTTATAAGTACGGAAGATATTCCCATGATAAAATGTGCGTGTGAGGCGCCCTATGCTTATGAGGAGCTTCCGTAAAAATTAAGTACAGGAGATATTTTCAATGCATAGTAGAATGTGCGTATGAGGCGTCTTATGCTTGTAAGGAGCAGATCCGGTCTCGAAGGAATTGCTATTTGCTAATCGCTAAACTTGCGAGAGAAGAAATCTGCTGCGACCATGGTCGCATGCGACCCACAATGGATTAAATTGCTGGCATTTCCCATTCCTGAATCCTGATTCCCCCAGCAAATAGGGAAAAGCTAAAGCAGTTTCTCACTTTGTCTTTCTCAGGTGGGAGCAGGGCCAACCAAGCACCCAACCATTCCAAATTCCTAAACGAGCCCAGCACTCCAGCAGCGCGTGTGTTGGCGTTGGTTACCAATGCTTTATTTATTTATTAATACATTTTTCATTTCTTTGTTTATTTGTCATCACTGAAAAATCAAAATAGGTAAAGCAAACCGCCATTAAGACCCCAAAATTCTTGCATGGAGACATGAGATGAGAATGAAATCCTCCCTGATTTTTTTTTTTTTATTTCAGACTGCCCAGAAAAAATGGTGGAGTTTTTTTAAGGTATTTTTTAAATGGGGCTATGGCTATAGAGAGTGAAGAAAAAATGGTGGAGTTTTTCAAATTTTTTTTCATTATTTAAGCATGTTAAATGTTGTTTTCCATGATTTCTTGCAGTACCAGAAAAGTCCTGAAAAGGGTCTTCGATTTGAAAGGGGTTCTTTCTAGGGTTTTGCCCACTAAATATCCCCACCTTTTCTTCTCTATCTGTATTTACTGTTTCTTTTTATGGGTTCAGCGTTGAACTATTACGCTTTTAGTTTTGGTTTTAACAGTCACTTTTAGTTAATCGTAGCTTGCTCTCAGCTTCACTTCAGACATAGTTCAATTCTGCTCCACAAAAGCCAGAACCACCAAAGAACATTTTTCCTTCTTTTATTTTCCCATTTTCCTTTTCTGTACAAGCCTCCCTAGATCCCGTTTATCACTCTCCCCGGTTTTGGTGAAGCGAAAAATCATTTTTTTATACAAGGTTTGTGTTGGTAGCTCTGCAACTTTTACTGTTCTAAGTTGCAGAACCACGAAACCCAGAATAACTGTTGTGTTTTGAACAAATAAACTTTAATAAAAATCTCATCTTTCACTCTCCTATGCCTTGGAGCATCAAAATAAATCTCTTTCTCCAACCTTTCTTTTCTCTAAGTTTCTTTCCGCTTTTAGTGCTCTCAGTCTCCGCAAGTTTCTCATCTGCCTTTAGTGCTCTCAGTCTCCGCAAGTTTCTCATCTGCCTTTAGTGCTCTCAGTCTCAGTCTCAGTCTCCGCAAGTAGCACAACACTTGAACAACAAAAAAGTTTCAGCTTTTAGACCTCGATTTGTAGGAAGGTAAAAAAGGAAGAATCGGTCTTGTGAGTTGTAGTGAAATGTCAATGCCATTAGAGCAGCAGCAACCGCCACCCATGGTTGTTAATCAGCAGGCTTTCAGCAGTCACTCGAGTCACGGATCAGTCGGGCCACTGATTGCCGTTCTTGCCGTGATAACAATCTTGGGAGTTGTGGCCGGGATGATTGGACGACTCTGCTCAGGAAGGAGTATCATGGGCCATGGGCAATACGATTTCGAAGGATGGGTGGAGAGAAAGTGCTCATCTTGCATCGACGGGAGGATCGATCCCCCCCCACCACCACCTCCTAATACGAACGTCGCCGGCGACTCCATCCCGATAGCAATTCCAGTCGGAACTCCTAAGCAGACAGAACAGCCTCCTCAGAACCCACCTACAGCCATTGATTCCTGACATGGGGTTCGTTGTTTTTTCCGTCTTTACTTGCTATATATGAAGTGGATTCTTTCTTACTTCTTTTCTATTAGTATTTTTGCTTTATTTTGTTCATTTCTTGTGTTCCACTAGGGCCGCTGGTCTCTCCTCTACCTGGGATTTTCACCATCATTTTCTTGCCTTATACATACATGTCAGGAGAATGAGCAGATGGTGAGATGATGAAGTTGGGTTGTTTTTCTTTTTTATAATTTTTTTTTCTTTCTTTCATGGATGGAAGAGAATTACACAAGTCGAGTTTCTATCTTTCTTTCTCTTTTTTTTTCTAATTTCTTTTACGGTTTGTCTACTTTCTAGATACCCAATCACCATTACCAATAGACCTATCATGGCTACTTGGGCTGTAATTTTTTCCTGGATTCGTTCCCATTATCAGATCATTGCCTCCATCCATCCATCACCTTAAATTTAACTAATCCTAGAAATTAGAAATTATTATCTTATTAGTTTTCCTGCTATGTCTTGATAAAAATTGGAAGAAACAAATTGCATCAGTGCCTGCTCATTTTGAGAGGTTGAGACATTTTTTGTGTTGTGAGTGAAGTTTTCTGTAATTCTCTCTTCCTCTTTCTCTCTCTCAGAAAAAATTCCATGGTTAGGGTAGGAAAAACAATCTGAGTTTGAGCGTTTGAGGGTGAATGAAGTCCTCCCTTTTTTTCCGAGTTTTGAAATTGTAAAAATCGAAATAGTTGCTACTTCTGCAATCAGTATTAAATAAATATTGAACACCAACCAGAACAGTTGTTGTGACCTGTGAGCCTCCCTTTGTCTAACATACGCTGCAGGCATCACTCGCAACTTAAGGTTTGGGGTTAGCAGCAGCCAGCAGTTGGCAGTAGTGAGAACACAAGGCAAGGGTTCCCAACATCAGCTTGGCTTGTGTCGGTTTTCCTTTTTCTGTTTTTTGTTTTTTTTTTCACTGAGCGCTTGATGTTTATACTATTTCTCCTATTACTGTTTTTTTTTTCCGTTATTTAATATAGAGGAAAGTATAGTTTAGGACAACCTTTCAGATCTAATTCCACTAAAGGTTAATCAACTTTTATATAATGTAAAAAAACAATATTTTTTAAGGTTTAATTTCAATCCTTAGTTTTTTTTTTAAGGTTTACCCTCTTGTGTTAGTAATTAAATTGGTATTTACCAAAAAGAAATCTAATTTACCTATCAAATTTAATGTAAATGGTAAATCCTCCTCAAATTTTGAAGCATGGTAAATACATACATGAATCATAAAAGTTGATAGATATTTTAGCATAAAAAAATAAAACAAACATATATCTCAACTAAAATAAATGAATGTGTTTAAAATGTTTTTATTTTAAAAATAAAATGTACTATATTTTGATAAATTATATTCTATTAATTGATTTAAGATTGACATAGGGCTGAAAATTTGGATTAAAAGGAGCTGGAAGTGTAGATTTGTTGCAAGGACTAAGGAGTAGGGAAGGGATGAGGGCCTGGTCACGTGGTTCAAGGCACCATTCCATCTTCATTGAAAACTACATGTGATATATGCAGCTTTTGTCGGGTATTTGAAGCAGCCCTCCCCATCCCAACCCCGACACTAGCCGAAGCTGCTCCCTCCGTCCACCACCACCCAGCTTTCAGCGAGATCAGCTTCCCTCAGGGCAAGCCCGTGCCCACACAGTTTCAATCAACATTTGTAATCTTGCATTAGTAATATCTTCCCACCGTTTCAATCAACATTTGTAACCTTTCATTAGGAATATCTTCCCCATGAAATTAAGCACATAAATATGGAGATATTCTCAATGCAAGGTCGTAAAAACTGTTCTAATGGGCTTTGCCATGATAAAGGCTGATCTCACTTTCAGCCTGTGCACTTACCCGATTCCAGATGCCGGAATATACTTGAGTATTGGGTGGGTTGAAAACTAATCACCCTTAGAATCAAGACCAAACAAATTCAAAGCCGATTTATTTTTTTTTTTTTTTGAAAAAAAGCTGATATTTTATTCCATGAACAAGCATTAGTATATACATCAACCTCAGAACCTGATAATGAAAACTCGTTATCATCGTCATCCATGCCATCTCGTTGCATATTTGAATCCTCTTTCATCAATCCGTTATATTTAAAGCTATATTCACTGTTAAATTATTAGTATTTAAATCATTTCTTACCATTTTATTTATGTCCTTTTTCGTCTATCATGAGCTCTTCTTGCTTCTTCAATGTATAACAAACAAATCACTTCTAACAAACAGAGTTCATGAATTTTTATGTAGTGTGTAAACCATCTTAGCTTATTTTCTCATTTTATCATCTATAGGAGAAAATCTTATATTCCTCGGGTAATTTCATTCCTGATCTATCCTTTTTAGTTTTTCTACTTGTCCATTATAGCATTTGTATTTCTATCACATTCATTTTCTTGACAACCAGGTAATGAAAACTAAAAATGAATTTAGGCCGCGTTTGGTTCACGGGAATAGGGTTATTCTGATTCTAACTATTTGGTTGGGGGAATCGGAATTCCATTCCCATTCCTGCTGGAATGACATTCTTCTATTTGAGGAAATAACCATTCTTTACTCGAATTAAATCTCCTTTCTGCTTATTTCAATTCTTATTCCCATTCCTGTCTAAACCAAACAGACTCTAATTTCGATTTCAAAAATTTTCTTTCTCAATACCAATTCCAATTCCAACTGCGAACTAAACGCACCCTAAGAAATCATTTCGGATGGCAGAGGAAAATGTAAGTAAAAATCATATGACGCCAGTCGCCCACCACTTATTTGATTGCTGACTCCTGTGTAGGTGACAGCCCCTAAAGCGCATTACTAAGATGCTAATCGCATTGCATATGTTTCCGAAAATGTGCAGTACATATTTAACAAATTTTCTTGTTCTACTCTACGATGGATTGATCTAAAAAAATAGAAAAAAAAAGGAAGATTTTGGGCTAATATTTTTCAATACAAGAGCTCTGGATCTGTTATTTGGGTAATACTTAGCACCTTACTGTTTTCGTTGTCACTTAAGTTGAGATTTGATCCAATTTCTGAGTCATTGACTGAACTCAGAAAAAACTCGCAAGGCCCAACTTAAATCAGGAGTCTGGCAGCTTGAATAAGTGTCGAGAAGAATAATCCCAAAAGGACACAAACTGCAATTTTATTGTGATGCGCCGCGTATCCAAAGTCCAAACCATTTCCCTCATCAGGCTCAGGCTGCCGCTCTGGGCCATTGGTTAAATGGACCAGATGGAATACTGACAGACAACTCGGGGGATTTTAGGTGGACCCCTTTCTCCCGTGAAACATAGCAGACAGTGCATGCCGATGCAGCTTTTGCAGAAAACATCCACAATCACAAAATTAGGGTGGCACTTTGGAGTAGATTAATGATGCCAAACACATGGCTGTTGGGAATTGGAAATCTTATCCTGTATTTACAAAATTGATTATATTTGATTTTCAAATGGGGAATGCCATTCTACCATAAACAGGAATGGGATTTCAATTCTATCTAATCAAATCGTTAGAATTGGAATGATCCATTTAGATTTCAATTTCAGATCTCTATTCCTGTGAATCAAACAGACCCATATTACAGTTCCCTATATCTAACTGTTTAATAGTCAAAGATGGATCAATACAAAATAGAAATTTAAGATACATTCAAATAAGACCCAGTTTAGTTTGCAGGAATAGGGGTCTGGAATGGGAATTGAAATGGGTTATTCTGATTTCAACTATTTAATTAGACAGAATCAGAATCTCATTCTCATTTCTACTGGAATGAAATTCCTCCATTTGAAGGAATGGCCATTCCCTGCCCCTTTTTTGGGAATGAAATTAAAAGATTTCAAATCCGATTGTGAACTAAACGAATCCTAAGTACTTTTTTGAATTGAGAGAGATTAGAGTAGGATAAAATTATTGGATCATGTGTACTCTAAGGGGACATTGTTCTGTGTACGTTGAACAGGCTTAGCAGATGCTTAGAGGCTAGAGTCAGGTTTATGTTTAATACTTTAATGCTAAACCAATATGTCGAGTATTTAGTTTATGGTCACATGGTTGAAGATGCAATTTAAATTTGGAAAAGGGACCATCCAAGCGGCAGCCTGAATGAATAGACTTGTGTTGTACACATTACACACTCTAGATGTTGGTAGCTGGGCATGCTCAGGTATGCAATGCCTTTATGTAGAACCTATCCACCACTCTGGATGAGAATTTTCCAAGTCTATATCATAATACCACCATACCCTTAGCAAAGGTAGCTAACCCAATTCATCAAAGGTGCCAGTAGTGGTGGTACCCATACTCATTTCAAAGAGTACCCATAGCTTTTCTTATTTCATTAAAGTTGAAAGCTGGAAGGACTTTTTTACTTCCAAAGAGACAGAACAATGGTTATATATATTCTATAGAATTGCTTCCAAGGAGCAACTACAAAGGGCACTTGACTATAATCCTGGATTAATGCTAAATCTGTTTACCTTAAAGATGGAGAATTGTTCAATTTGGGATGGACGAGCAATTGAATCAGACCTCTGGGCTCTGATCATGGGCCCGAAGCTGACTATCTGTCTAAACGCCCAGAAACATGAAGTGAAAGTAGATGCAGAACAAGTCACAAATAGGGATTTTCGGTGAGATTCAAATTTCTTATTCAGTGAGAAATAGGTCTAATGGACTACAAATAGGGATAGATTCAAGTCCATGATGAAAATTTTTCGCTTAGAGCACAAAGATTAGTACCAGTTTGTTAGACAACAATTGAGTTTTATAGGAAAGGAATCAAAGTGGTGGCTGTGGTTTCTTTTTTCACAAAGCATGAGATTATCAAATCAAGATAAACAAGAGCATTATGATAAAAAAAAAAAAAAAAAAAAAAAAAATTCTGAATTTGAGATGAATTAACAACGATGTTAAGAGCAGAGCTTTTATTTGGTTGACTCGTACCAGAAAGTGAAGCACCACCTAGATTTTTCTGGGCTTACTTTCATTTTGAGAAGTTGAGAAAGTCCAGAAGTTGCATGAATTCATGCACATTGTGTGTATGTGTGTATTGTTAAGATCATATGTATATGTATATGATCAAAAAGCAGTATTAAAATAAGGGATGGTCCGTGCACTCACACTAGCTGGTTGGCAAATCTTTTTGAGAAGATCTCCTGTAAGATGCATTGAGTTTTTTGCATTAAGATCTGAGCATCCTGAAGCTCGTTTGATTAAGGCATGTCTTTTTGCGTGAAAATGAATAGAAAAAAAATGCAAAAGTTCCATTTGGAGCATCTTGAAAATCGCCCTTTTTGAGCTTTTCACGTCCTTTCAGTGTATTGGCTTTTGACGGCTAGATTTACCGTGTGAACCGAACGGAAAAAGATCGAATCACAATCTGCCAAGCTTATAAATAGACAACAGACTGCACGAAAAGACACACCAAATGGGGCTAGATCAAATAATAACTACAACAGGAATTTGGATTAGCTGAACACTTTAACTGTTCAGCCGACTATGGAACCAATGATGAGTT